TGTTTCAGTAATGTGGATTTGGTTTCTGGGTTTTCTCCATTTCATGTGTTCTTCTTTTGTTGTTGTTTTTTCTGTTACAAGAGACATGTTAAGAGAGTGTGTGTTTCGAAGTGTTAGAGAGATTTTGTGAAGAGAAGAACCGATGGATTATGGAATGAAAAGAGACGAGGGATCCACTTATTCTTGTACTGAGTGTAAATTACATACTTCACATTTTAGCCATTAAATTTTGGAAAATGTAATGATTTAAATTACTTACAAATTCAAACCATTGAATTTCCCAAGAATAAATAATCATAATGTGATGTGAAGTAAATATTTTCTACTTACTCTTAGAGTAATTAGATCCCTCCCATAAAGTAATAAAGTAATGGTTGGGATTGTGTAGAGATTATTTTATTTTTGATTCATTATTTATTACTTGTTTGGTTCTGAAAATGAGTTCTTTTCAAGATACCTATTTTGGTTATGGTGCCAATTTAATCCTTAAATTTGAAAACTTGTTCCTGAAAATATAAAATTATATTTTTTTTTAGTATTTTTATGACTCTTATAAAGATTATTTTATTTCATATTCATAATTCTATTCACTCTTTTGTTTTTAATTTGTGGGGTTTATGATGATTTAAATTTTGGACCACATCATGTGATACGATCACAATATTGCCTCACCATAATTGCATCATCGCAATTGTGATGTGATTCTAAATTACAATAATGCGACTGCATTAGACCACAACGAAACCGCATCAGACTGTATTTGGATTGCATCAGACTACGTCGAATTGTATCAAACCACATCGGAATAAAAAATATTGTTTTAATCATAAAATAATTCACACCATAAAAACTACAATTCGCATCGTAATAGCCACTTAACTGCAATTGCAATAACCACAATCGTTATTTTAATTGCCACTGCGATTTAAAACACTGGAGGATACTAATTTGTCCTGTTGTTGAAACTTTGATTTGCTTCCCGCCCTGGAATCCGTGACTAGCTTTTGCTTATTTTGGTGCTTTTTAAGCGAACACTGATGTAACTTATCGAAGGCAAAAGTAAAAGTGCAAAATCCTGTTTCTCCTCTCATTGTTAAGGAAGTAGTATAATTTAATCACATATGTAATTCACACATAAACTGTTTTTCTATAATTCATGCTATAGAAGTTTGACTAGTGCACAGTACTAATCAGTGTATTATTCTTGTACAATTCTTCCCTATAGATGTTATTGATATTAAATAATGTAAGTCTTGCATTTTTTATAGTTAATATTTTCTTATGTATTAGAAATGATTTAAAGGAGGAAGTTGCAGAAAATATAATATACATGTAAATAACTTACCTTTTTCCGCCAGTAAAAGAATGACATGTATATTGTTTTGTTTTGTTCTAAAAATATTTTTGTAGAAAATGATTAAATGATACATATGTCACGATTTTAGTGGTTGAAGGAGATAATTTATCTTCTTATAGCAGAAGATACATTATTCTCTTTTAAAGATAAGGAAGTAAGTCTGACATTACCCAAACTCAATTTTCTAAATATAATTTAAATATTTGTTGGGACTATTCTTTTTATTAACAGTTAATTTTAAGATAAAGCTTTAACAATATAATGGTTTGGACATTTCGACCTTGTGAATTGTGGATGAGGTGGAAGCTTTTTCATGTTGTCCAATAAATTACAAGGGACCATGGTCTAAACATTCTGAATTTTTAATGCTACGGGGTTTAGGTTTTGGTTGATGATAAAATTATAAAATTAATGATAGAAAATAATGTATTTCCTGGTATAAAGAGATAATTTATATAATTCAACCACTAAAATTATGACATGTATACCATTTAATTATTTTCTATAAAAATATTTTTAGAACTAAACAAAACAATACACATGTCATTCTTTTACTGGCGAAAGAAGGTAAGTTATCTTTTCGTGCGCGATGAGATATATTATTTTCTCTTTAAAAAATAATGACCCATGTTGGTTAAATAAAATGACCCTTGACCCACATGATGGTGTGTCATACTTTGAAAGAAATGAATTTTTCACCAAAAATATTATAGTCTATAGTTCTCATCTATGTAAAGTTTTCAAAAGTTGAGAAACTCATGAAATGTAGTGGTGTATAAATTAACCATGAAATGTGGAAAATAGATCTGCAAAATGAAAATGAGATTGCAAAGAAGTAAAGAACAAAAGCAAAAGGACAAATCATATACATTTTTTCCACTCTAGACTAGGCCATCACTATAGAATATTTAAGACAAAGTATATACATAGATTTTGGACCACACATAGAGTTAAAGGATACAAAAACAATAATTTCGCTTGTAGTATTAAGGTTTCATCTTATAATCAATTATCAATAAGAAGAGTAGTCTAACAAATATTTAAACAATTCCCAATATAATAAAATATGTGATGTGAGACTTACTTCCCAACGTATTCCAACATAAGGAAGCAACATGTTGAAATAGGATTAAATTTGATTAAACCTTTCAACTATTAATTCAAATACAGTTTCCACTTTGGATATATCAGAAATGGGTAACAAATAATTAAGTGCTTAAAAATGATAGGATTTAGGAAATGCTGTTTTAGCCTAATAAGTGGTTTCTAATTAATTTTTATTTGAAAAAGATTTTTGCCATCTTTTGAACACAAAATTTCATCATATATACATGAGGCAAATGATGATTCCAGTTAATGCTGAACTGTGCTTCTCAATCAGTACAATTAATTAGCAGAGATATGATCATTTCTCTTGACATAAAATCCAGAATATTTTGTCATCTCAGAGGTAAATGCTATATTTTATATCTCAAATATATTCCTTACATTATCACAATTTTCATAGTTGTAATTCTTTTTTAGTACAAATTTTATTTCATTAGCATTAGATAAATGGTGTAAAGAGGGGTTTCCATACTTTGTTTGGATTTGTTTTTAAATAAAAAATTATCTCATTCGACGATATAAATAACATATAGTTTGGTTCGGTTTAGATGATTTATATTAAGGCTTACGATCTAATCCAATCCAAAAATTATATGTAGTTGATTTATTTTTTAAATAACACTTTCAAATTGTCAAATTTACATATAAAAAACATGTATGATAAGTTTAATATGTTTTTAAATTATCAAATCCACATAAAAGTACAAAATATGATTCATCATTCCTAAAAATTAAAACGGAATAAAAAATAAAACAATAGGAAAAATAAGTCAACAACAAACATCACCAATAGCACACCACCATAATTTTAACAATAAGGAAATGTTAATTAATAATTGATAACACTTTTAACAATTAGAAAGTATAAAAATTGTACATTTTTAGATTATCAATTACAAGACTAATTATATTTAGGACTAAAATAATATTTATTTTTGTGCATATCAACTTAGCATCGGTCTGGTTTCTGAAATTGGAACAAAAACTAAACTGAATTGGTCGATTTTATAAAATTCAATTCAACATCATCCATATAAATTCGTTTTTTTTGTAGTTTCGATTTTTAGACTGATTTTTTGTTTCCTTTTTTAATAGGTTTTGTTATGAACACTCTAGTATAAATTAGGGTTAATTTGACTCAGAATTATGGTCTATTTTGGTTTCTTTTTTCAATTTCTACTATTGTTTACTTGTGATCAGGTTTTTGGATAGAAAGGAAAATTAATACTTAAGAATCATCTCATAAGTATATTTTATAACTCTCGAATGTTTTACTTTCCTTAGTTACAGTCCAAAAACTAACTCCCAAATAATATATTATAATTTCTACTACCTTTTGGACTTTGGTAGGAGAGTGACTTTTTGTTTTGTTAAATTTGGCCTTAATTATGAGGGAAGTTCAACATATCCTCCTCTAACTCTAGCTTTCCAAAAACTATGATGGTTGAGCACATTGATATCTAGTTTATGATTATTCATGATCTCCTATTATATTTTTTTTGGTAGAAAAAATCTCCTATTATGATTATTCACGATATTATTCATGATCTCCTATTAATTATGGTGGCCATATTGAGCAAAAAGTTGGACCATGATATTCATATCTTTTATGATGTATTGCATAATATCATCTATTAAAGACAGAACAATATCATTAAATTGCAGATTGTTGATATAGCATGCCTTCAATTAATTAAGGATAATAGTTTAAGATATGAATTAAATTCATTTATACTAGTGCTATACCCTTTTGTTTTGATTGAGTATTTTTCTGTATTTATTTACTAAGTGGGTTTGGTTTAAAACAAAGCACCACTTACTTCATGTTTGATATAGCACAACTTTATTTTTGCCTTCAAATACGTTGCTTCTATGAAATTGATGAGTTAGATATTGTGATTATTTAGGAATTTGATTATCTATTATTCATGAATCTAATCGAAACACGGTATGTTATGCATGAATAAATACGAGACGCGATTTAAGACATGCTCTGTAATATTATATTATTATATCTTTATTCGGAAGATTTATACGAAAATATATCATTTAAAATAAATAAAATTATAAATGTATGTTTAATTATAGATGTTTTTGGAGCATGAAATTATATTCTTAATTAGTAAAATTAACTCATATTTGTAGTTGTTGACTATTCTACATAGTTATTATAGAATTTCACTATTGAGTGATATTTACATGTTACCTTAATGATGATGGAGGAGGATCTAAAATAAGAATTTGGTGTCTCAAACCAATAAAAATATATCATCTCAATTAAAAAAATTAAACAATTATTATTTTTTTCACTTTTTATGTTGGTGTGAGATGTGATTTAAGGCATCTTCTATAACATCATATCCTTGTTCGGAAGATTTATACAAGAATATATCATTTCCCTTTTAAATTTATTCTATGTCCATATTTTAATATTTAAATGTGTCAATCATTAATAAATTTTTTGACTATTCTCCTCCTCATCTCTCCACCATATATATGCAACCATCTCCTTTGTAGATGCATGTCAAATATTCCATTAGTACTTGAAACACTATACATTTCACCTTCTTTTTATGCTATTCTCCATTTTTATTTGTTTTATATGTTTCAATACTATGCTGTGGATATAATAGTAAAAAGGATTCCTTAGCTTGCATCTATGTAATGAGATCAAACATTGGATTTGAGGAGAGACACAAACACAAATATGACAGAAGTTGAAGCAAGAAGTTCTGTTTTTCAACCTTCAAATCCTCTTTCATATATCCAGGTATGTAGTATACTTTCTTATATGCATTGAAGAATTAAAATTGAAACGCATTCAACAAATCTTACTTAAAATCTATTTTTCTTTTAATATAACATATTGGAATCTTCTCATTCTCTCTTTATATAGTGCTATTCATTTTTGTTTTTTGTATAATATTATTATTTATATTCTAATATGTTTTGTGGGTTAAATAATTCAGTATTCTTAAAAATGTATTTTACTATATCATTTTCCCTTGAATGAATAACAATAATTAGTATTGTTTCTTCCATCTCTTTGAGGTTGAGGAAAAGGTGATTCATGACAAATGTTACTTCTTTTTGTCTTAATTTTTCATCTATCCAATAATAAAAATAAAATATTTTAATAATTATAATAAAAGGTTAATCACTAATAGTAAAATGATATATTTTAGTAATTTGAAATTACGAGTCGAGGATAATTTTTTAAATATTTAATAATTAGTAATAAATAGTGAACCATCAAAAATAAAAAAAATAATATCTTTGTAATATTGAATCATCAATAAAAAAAATAATATCTCTAAAATAACATGTATTAAATACTAAATCATTATTAATAAAAATAATATCTTTGTAATAATGAATAATTAATTGGGAATCATCAATAATTAATAAAAAATTAATTATGTCTGATTAGTTAATAATATATTTATTATGGCGATTCCTAATTAATTACTCATTATTAAACAGATATTATTTTTATCATTAATGATTTACTTTTATAACTCATTATTATAAAAATATGATGTATTTTTTGGTTGATTTTCCCTTTTATTCTTATTAATACAATTTTATTATTGACGATTCACCATCTATTAATTATTAATAAAAATTATTTACTATTGGTTATTTAACATTTAATACTCATTAAATATTATTTTTAATATTGATTAACCATTTATTACTCATTATTAGAAATATAATATCTTTATTATTGATGACTATTTATTACTTATTATTAAAAATATTATTTTTTGTTATTGGTTAAAGAAAAAATATTTAGAGAGAATATGAAATGATTATTGTGATCCACCTATCCAAATCTCTAGAGATAGAAAAAATAATACTAATGTTTGGTACCTCGCTCAAGGGGAAAAAAAAGTACACACCAACAATATGTTATAACCAACATCGAACAACAAATTTTCTAGAGGACCAATATTTCAAAATCACTTTTCAATCTTCTCCACATTCTCATTCTCTTTCCCTCTCCCCCTCCTCTCTCCATCATTAAATCACTTTTCAAGTATTTACATATAGCACTAGTAAGTTACCTATGCATTCATACAGGTTGGTATTTTGTTATCGCATGTATAATAACACACATGTTACTTGTGTATTTATATAGTTACATAAATTCGAATGGTAAAAAACAAACATATTATTTGTGCATTCGTATGATTAAGAACGTACATATTATATGTATATTCACATAGTTAAGAATATATTACATGTGCATTATGTATGTTTAGAAGCATGTAAATATCAATATCATTATATATATATTAGTAATATTGTGTAATAATTTGATAAGATAAAATGAAATATATAGAAATTGTGAACTAATTTTTATTGTATGTGTTTTCTATTGTAACAATTCAATCTCCATTTGATATCTATATATCTATCATGGGATTGCAAAATGTTTTCACACCTTTGTATTATTATGAAGAACAATTATAAAATCCATAAGTTCATCACCAATCTGGGACAGAATAAACATGTATTCATTAGTCAAGAGCATTTCATGCAAATACAGTCACAAAGCAATACATGAGATCCGGCCCATAATGATATAGTTAAATCCAAACACATTTAAAATGGTAACAACACCGTTCCATTTTCCCAAATAAACTGAATCAATAAGTGATTCTTTCATTATAGTTTAAAATTTGTAGTTTATGTTTATTTTTTGAAAAATAAGCTGAAAATATAAACTATGTATATTTGAGAATCAAATGAATTTTATAAACTCAATTTTTTTCCTGAAAAAATAAGTCAAAAGTAGAAGCTCCAAAATTATTGGTTGATTTATTTTTTTAGATTATTTTCCCCCAAATTTTTCTATTTCCCATTTTACCCCATCATAACTTTATTTCTGTCATCATTTTTACTCTCCCATCAAACACCATAATTCTTCACATTATCACCTCCAAACTTCATAACTCTCATTTTTCTCTCTCTATCACCACTCAATTTCTTAATTCCTCATAACACTTTCCTTTATTTATACACGAACAAAACTTAACAATTTATGTATTATTTATTTTGTGAATTATGTAATTTAAGTTTAGTAACTTTCATTTATTTTTGTGCTATATTGTTTTTAATTTTGATATTGATTTTTATTTTAATATTTTTTAGCATTTGTTATTATGCAATATTAAAAATCATGAGTTAATTTTTATTTATTTATTTTATGTTTAACTATATATGAGGTTATTTGTTTATGTTGATCTTATGTTGTTTTTTAATATTAATATTAGTTTTTATATTGTATTTTATTTTAATATATTTTTTAACATTTGTTATGCAATATTAAAAAATTAAAGTAAAAAAATGTATAATTAAAAAATAGTGTAAAAACAACAAAAATAATCATAACATAAACAAATAACCTCATACTCTTTTATGTAAGGTACTCAAACAAAACATATTAGTTTATATTCAATTTTCAGCTAAGGTACTCAAACATAAAAAGATTATAATCATAACAGTTTATAATCTAACAGTTTACAATCTCACAGTTTATAATCTCACCGTTTATAAACTGAAACTAAAAACTTAATCCATATCAAACGCACATTAAGTATAACTAAAATGATATAATTTACGCATGAACTAAACTTGTATATGTTCACTTTACCGAGTACCCGTTTGCAAGAAATTTTGGGTCACATGTAATGTTTAAATGTGTTTAGGTTCATTATTATAAGTAGCCAAAATTAAAGTAATCTAATTCAAGTAAAATATATGGCTATAAACATAATTATCATGAAAATTGTTGTGTAGATACCTAAAGTCTTCTTTCTATTTTATGATGAGCAAAATTGAAAATAAGAAAATCAAGTAGCATATCCCTTCACAGAAGAGTATGCACTTCTTATAGATAAGGGGTTATGATCCTCAATTATAGACCGACAACATGACACAAGATGTCACATCCAAAACATGAACAAAACCAAGTTATTCTCTTCATTCTATTAGAGGAGAAACTAAGGCTAAAGGTGATCTACAATTGAAAGGCAAAAAAACCTACATGTTCTACTATGAACATACATTTGCATACAAGACAAGGGACATGAAGTTTTGGTGGATAGATGACTAAGAATGATATAAATTTCATTTACCATATTCTATATGAATATATAAAGATATGTTTCCGCTCAAGTTCTAGTTTTATATTTCCTCTTGATGATTTGATATAAAAGATTTGGACTAAATATAATGATAGTGTTATTCACATCATCTTTAGTCATGTATCTTTAGTATATAATTTCTTCCACCACTTTAAAGTCTACATTAAATATTTTTTCTACAAGTGATATCAGAGTTACTTTCATTGGAAAATAAGGTTACCAAGTTTTGAGAATATAGTTGAATTTTCTTTATAGAAATTATTGTTTTATAAAGATATCATGTTAAGATTAAACATGTTGTAGTTGTTTGTTAAAATATTTATTTTATATCATGAAAATTGTAACACCCTAAGTTTGAGTCTTTAAAATTATAGTATCAGTCCTGAAAGTCTCGCTTGAGCGAGAGATTCTCGCCTGAGCGGGAAAGGATCACCTGGGAGGGTGAAATCCTGGGCTATACTGGAGGATTCTCGCATGAGCGAGAGTTGTCTCGCTTGGGCGAGAAATGACAAACTGAGGCTGTTGACACTATAAGATTCTCGCTTGAGCGAGAATCCCTCGCTTGAGCGAGAGTGTCATTTCTGAAATTTTTAAAAGGCGGGATTTTCTCGCCTGAGCGAGAATGGGCTCGCTTGAGCGAGAACCCGACGACTACTCTTTAAAATAGAAACCCCAAACACATTTTAGGGTTAGAACTTTGAAGAGAAGAGAGAGAAGAGAGCTTTTCAAGAGCAAAGAGCCTTAGGACTCATCTTAGAGTTTGTGAATAGGTAAACCTCTTGTTTCTAACTCTTCTTCTTCCTCTCTAATTTGTTTTGGGTATGTTGGATCTATTTTCAAAACATGAGAAACCATGGAAACTCATTCTTTAGAGTTATAGTTCGTTTTATGTTGTTTTTCTCTTGTAAACTCTTGGTTTTGAGTTGATATTTGATGAATGGAAAGGTTTTGTGGGTTATTCATGAAAACCCCAAAAAACCCCAAAATGAGAATATGAGTATAAAGAGAAAGAGATGAAATGTTAGATGTGGATGATGAGTTTGTTCTTTGATGTTGATATATGAGATAAACATGTATGTTAAATGTTTGGAAACTTGTATTGAAGTAGTTTTGGAAATCTTGAATATATATGAATCTCTTGTGTATTTGATGATGAAATACGAGTTATTTATGTGTTATTTTGAATAAATGACTGATATTGTTGTTATTAGTGAAAATGAGGAAAGATCCTAAGGTTGGAAGAAATCGTGGAGGAGACTTTTAAAGTTACTCGGAACCGATCCCCAATGCTCACCAAGGTAAGGGATAAGTGGCTCTAATTCATACTCACTGATGTGAATGAGGTATGTGAAAGAGGTAACATGTTGGTAGGTTTATTGTTGTTACCCTACCCGAAGAGGTAGTGGTTTATTGTTGTTACACTACCCGAAGTGGTAGTGGTTTATTGTTGATACCCTACCCGAGGAGGTAGTGGTTTATTGTGTCCTACCCGGAGTGGTAGTGAACTGTTTATTGTGTCCTACCCGGAGTGGTAGTGAACTGTTTATTGTGTCCTACCCGGATTGGTAGTGGACTGTTATTGTTATCCTACCGGCAATGGTAGTGAAATATTGTGAACTTGACCTGCCTGATGTGGTTTGGATAATAACTAGACCTGCCCGATGTGGTATGGATGATAACTAGACCTGCCCGATGTGGTATGGAAAATAACTAGACCTGCACGATGTGGTATGGAGTATAACTAGACCTGCCCGATGTGGTATGGATGATAACTAGACCTGCCCGATGTGGTATGGATAATAACTAGACCTTCCCGATGTGGTATGAAGTATGACTAGACCTGCCCGATGTGGTATGAATGATAACTAGACCTGCCGGATGTGGTATGGATAATAACTAGACCTGCCCGATGTGGTATGGATGATAACTAGACCTGCCCAATGTGGTATGGATAATAACTAGACCTGCCCGATGTGGTATGGATGATAACTAGACCTGCCCGATGTGGTATGGATGATAACTAGACCTGCCCGATGTGGTATGGATAATAACTAGACCTGCCTGATGTGGTATGGATGATAACTAGACCTGCCCGATGTGGTATGGATAATAACTAGACCTGCCGATGTGGTATGGATGATAACTAGACCTGCCCGATGTGGTATGGATAATAACTAGACCTGACCGATGTGGTATGGATGATAATTAGACCTGCCCGATGTAGTATGGATAATAACTAGACCTGCCCGATGTGGAATGGAGAATGACTAGACCTGCCCGATGTGGTATGGAGATGTAATTGGACCTGCCCGATGTGGTATGGAGAATGACTAGACCTGCCCGATGTGGTATGGAGATGTAATTGGACCTACCCGATGTGGTAGGGGATTATATTTGTGAAAGAACTCAGTGAATACGATTAAGGATGAATACGACATATGAGAAACGAGGACGTTAAGAGCGAAAGTCATATGCATGCTATAAGATATATATTATGGGATATATATACTATAGGGTGAATATGAATGCTGAAAATGAAGACGTTAAGAATAGAAGTAATATACATGCTATAGGATATATAGTATGGGATATATATACTATAGTGTGGATATGAATAATGAGAAGAACGATGTTTTGAATGAACGTAATATGCATGCTATAGAATATATATTATGGGATATATATTCTATAGGATGAATATGGATAACGTGGAAATGAACGAAAGAAGATATGAATGTTTGCATTTACGTAATTGTGTTTATAAATTATATTAAAGCTTAATCGTATTTGAAATGTGGATTATCATGTGATGTTAGTTTTGAACTAATGACTTACTCCCTTTTGTTTTGTGTGTTGTTTATGATAATCCCATTGTAGGTAAATGAAGGATTTTGAGGATGAAGCTCAATTAAGAAGCTTTTGTGTTTATTTACTCGATCGTCTTTATTGCTATTTGACATTGTAGTTGATTTGATAGTATTTTGGGATACATGTAATCTGATTAGGATAATACGGTGACATGTAGTTATGGACGTTATAACTCTGGAAAACCCATAACTGGATGTATGTGGTAAATGCTATCTGAATGAATTATGTTTTTCCGCAACATAAATTTGTATGATAATATGATAGGGTAAAGAGTATTCTCAAAGAATGGGTCTTGAGAGTTTTTAATTAAAGTGACGACTGTATGCAAGGAAGGATTAAAATAAATGAAAAAATTTCAAAGGTAGAATTTGGGTCGTTACAAAAACATGTTCTATTTGTTTAATTTATTATTGTTTTCACGAGAACATGAAGTTTGGTTTTGATTCAAGTTGACACAAGAAATTATTGATGAATATAATATATAATTCCATAAAATTAAATTCTATTTATTGTATGCATTTCTTCTAATGTTAGTGAATAACATTAAGAATATTGTTATTCAATTGGCTTGGTTATAAACTTATCAATCCTAATAATATGAATTTATTTTTTGAAAGATGAAACTTACATAAAAGATCATTGCAATACCAACATATGTGATTTGAATTAAAATTACAGTTTCTGTTCTATATGACATGTCTTTAGATATGGATATATATTTTTTTTAGCAGAATAAGGTTTATGGTTCAGTTTCGCTCTGAAATTTATTTATGGGGATCTCACTAAAGTAAAGTAGGACTAGTTGAAAATCGACATGTATAGATCACCTTCATGTGATTTTCATGCTGCACATTTCATGATTGATCTATGTCATTTAGTTGTGTCAATATTAGTGATCATTGATGAGTTTAGTAATGATTGATATAACGAAAGTTGTTTTGATTCTATATATTGATATAATTAATGGACGAAATAAGAATATGTCTAAAGTTTATAATGACGTGTATTTGAGCTCATAAAGTCTAACACCATTTATTTTTTTTTTGTCGGCAAAAAAGATTTTATTAATAGGAGGAATGACAATGTACAAAAACAAAGAGAAAAAGAAAAAACATTACAAAGAGATGTTCAAACAAATTACATGTGATCACTGGGAGATTGTAAGAAATTTTGGGTCACACGTGTAATGTTTAAATGTGATTAGGGTTATAAGTAGCCAAAACTAAAGTGATCTAATTCAAGTAAAATATATGACTATAAACATAATTGTCATGAAAATTATTGTGTAGATGCCTAAAGTTTTATTTCTATTTTATGATGGACAAAATTGGAAATAAGAAAATCAAGTAGCATCTCCCTTCATGGAAGGGTACGCACTTCTTATAAATAAAGGATTATGGTATCCCCAATTGTAGACCGACAACATGATACAAGATGTCACATCCAAAACATGCACAAAACCTAGTTATTATCTTCATCCCATTAGAGGAGAAACTAATCTTAAGAGTGATATATAATTGGAAGGCCAAAGAACCTACATGTTCTATTATGAACATGCATTTGCATACAAGACAAAGGACATGAAGTTGGTGAATAGATGACTAAGAATGATATAAAGTTCATTTACCATATTCTATATGAATATATAAGTATACGCTTCCACTCAAGTTCTAGTTTTATATTTCTTCTTAATGATTTGACATAAAAGATCTTGACTATATATGATGATAATATTATTCATCATATTTAGTATTATGTATCTTTAGTATATAAATTCTCCCACCAATATAAAATATATATTAAAGATTTTTTCTACACCCCTTCCTAATCCTAGGGAGAATATAACTGAAGGTACTGACCATGATCCAACTATCTAGTCTTAGACCAACAACCAAACCATGATGACCACATTGTCGAGGTGTTTATGAAACATGCAACAAACCATTTGACATTTTCAAAGAAGAAAATAATTCAACAAAGAAAGAGATACTTATCATTGACATTTTCAATGAAGAACAGAATTCAACAAACAACAACCCTAAACAATTTTTCGTTATCTTTGAGTATATAAATGAAAATAGTGATGCAATGATAAAGATTATGGGATAACATATGTTATCATCAATTCAAAATATGTTCAATGCACACCTACTGCAAATGAAGCAACTACCTGATATTAGCAACATCTTTATATTGAAAATGACAAATTCTATTCCCTTTAAGGGGATGATGGTATGTAATTTGAAGACTAAGGTCGAAAAACTCATGGTTAATTAAAGGGGATAATAATATGTTAACAAAATAAGTTAATGACTATCTATAGATAGAGCAAAATATATTGTAACAAAATGCAGCATGTAGATACAACTTCCAAAAGCTCAATATTAAGTTCAAATATAGCTTAAGGCTGCAACATGATACACAACTTCTAGCCACCACATGGGATCAATTAAATATATAGAGATTAGAGGATACAAAATTAATGTTTCTAACAAACTAAAAATTCCTCCATTCATGTTCTTATCTCTCTTCACACTTTTAGTATCTTCATTGTGGTAATTGGTTGCATAACTATAACTTTATAATAATAGCCAAGAGAAGTAAAATATGGGAAAATAGAGTTTTTAAATTTCTTATATTTCTCACCATGACTACCCTAAAAGCTTCTTTTCCAAGTGATCTTCAATGAGTTTTTAAGTTTATCAATCTAACCTACTTGTTGGGTTTTTCTATTCCAGATTTTATGTATTGGTTAATACTTTTGGTTGAGTTTTCCATTCTTTTAAATTTGCAGTCTACAATATGTTTATCATAATATTTCAATAACAATCGGAAATGATTTACTTCCTATGTGAATGGATGTCTCAATTTGTGATCTTGTGTGCCTTTGTTTCTTACTTTTCCTTATCTACTTATACTTAACAATTGATTTAATTTTCTATATGGATAGATTTAAAATGAATTATAATGGTGAAATTTTTTTAGTGTATTACATGAAAAAGAAGTATGAATGCAAACAATTGTCATTCATTATACTTTTTTTCTCTTAGCTTATATTTTGGTTCAGCCAACAATGAAGAGATTGTTTCATATGCTAAATGGGTTAAAGAAAAATCCAAATGGTTCTGCACTACTATTTCCTTCTCTACCATTTTGCTAAAGCTCCTATAAGCTATCATGTTGCACAAACCACTTAGGGTTTTCCTTGCTTCCAAAAGAAACGGCGCTTGAAATGATTAAGGATGATGTAGTTTTGTGTGATTTGAAAGTTTAGGGTTTAGGGTGATGTGTTGGAACTTGTTTTTAATGTGGTCATTTATGGAGATTTTTAGGGTGTGAAATGAAAAAACTCTAGTAAAAGAGAGTAAATAATATGGTCGTTAAGGATATGGCCGTTGGGGAT